GCTTTAATCAAAAAAGAATGCTGGCGGCCACAAAAGAAAGCTCTGACATTACCTGAGAATTCAAGCTATATGAAAGCATTTCTATATTCAGGAGAGGAGTGGATACTTTTTCAAAGGGGATCCATAATTGATGGACGAGGCTACATTTAGAGCTTATTCACTACTTTCTTTGGTTATACAACAACCTCTCAGCGTATTTTATTTTAGTTCAGTAGAACACTTTCTCTTTTAGACCCTGATGCACTGGAATAAATAGACCTCCCCTGTCTGGCTTCACCTTTATAGAATAGCCGCTAAACTACACTTAGAGAGATATTTTCCGCTTCAATCACAGATGCAGAGGAAATGGACAGAGTCCTTACCTCGCTCCGCCATCTGGCCTGGTCTTAACAATTCAGCATATGACGGAACGAGGGCAAAGGCTGTGTGATTAGAATTGTGCTGAAAAGATATTAAAGCCGTAGATGATTAATTTGACAATGATGCAATATCATTGTTTACTCAGAATCCCTTCGACTTTACCATAAACCGGTTTCATCTGCAGGGACATTGAACCAACGACCCGTGATTGCTGAAAGATGAGACAGATAACAGTTCATTGCAAGCATGGATATTGCTATTGCCTAGAGTAATCCTGTAGGTGTTTGTTAATCTGAAAAGGTGTTTTTAAAGATGGAAACTGGACAAACAAGGCTCCACTCAGTTGTTAATGCGTAGTCATTGGTACTGAATTAGAAATAGACTCAACTTTACAGGGAATTTTTAGCTACAAAATGAAATATTTTGTTTTTTGTTCTTAGGTAGGCAGAGTATCTATCTTCTATGAAACTGTTCTTAGACCTGCACTGAACTCTGGTCATTTTCCTAAAAATTTCCAGAGCACATTTTGCAGCTAGTGAGTTTGATGATGTTTCTAAAACATGACAGACCTGAAACTGCAAGAATACAAATATCTGTCTTAAACATAGAAAACTGTTACATTTCTCTATCCTCCGTCTGATTTGTAAATTTTTTCTTTTGAATTATTAGCATTCATAATGCAGCTCTTGACAGAAAACTGACCAACCATCTGCTGGACCTTCTAGATCCATATTTGTTTAACATTCCTTTTAACGCCTTGATTAAAAGCAGATGGTGTCCATTTGACTTCTTCCGTGACTGCAGAATAGCAATTAGCTGCACCAGGTTTACACATGTTATTTTGTTTTTACATTTGTGCCTCATTTAGATCTGTTAGCTTTTTAATTTGGCTTTAGTCTTGAACCAAATTTCCTCTTAATTCTGGTAAAAGCTTTATCCTGTGAAGGTCATCAATGCAACATGTGAAATGCGAAAGCTGTGAAACTGGAAGGAAACTTATTAAAGCCAAATCTGTCATTTCAGAATGGAAAGCGATGCATCACTTGGAAAATAATTGTAATTCTTTTTCATGTTAGATTAAAAACTGCACAACGCACACTCAACGTTATCACGTCCATCTTTCCAAAATATTTTCCTTTCATTTCCTCATTAGTCAGTTGGCGCAGACCCTCCTCATTTCATATCTGCCTCTGCTTATCTAGGCTACAGAGTGTTCAACACTCTAAACTGAGAGACGAGTGCAGTTTTCAAGCTGAAATTTCAGCTCAGTTGTCCCCGACAGGAAGAACTCCTTTGTAGCAGATTTGGGAGGACAGCGATGTCTCCCAGGCTTGAATGATTCAATTGTTTCTGCCTCCACCGCCTCTTGAACCAGGAGGGTTTTTATGTGCTGCTTCTTCCAGCAATGAAAAAATCATTCAGCAGGTTGTTACGTTATCATCTCAAGTTGCTAAGGATCATATATTCTGCAACCTTAGCTGGCTGTCAACACACCGAGTTTCACTGGGCTGTTGCTGCTGAGAGCCAGAGGGCTCCCTGCCAGACAAATTAAGATCCTGAATTAGAAACCAGGAGGTAACTGAGAGGGGATGTATGCGCTGCTGTGTGTGTATCATCTCTATACGTGCAGATTATAGAACATAGACTGTGAAAGCTTCTTAACAAAAGGAGTGATGTTGCGTGATCAGTTTCTGTCTTAAATAAGACCAGTGGACACAATAAATAATGGTGGACAAGAGAGGCAGCTCTGATTTGATTATGTGTGTCTTCAGAAAAGGTTGAGTCAGTGTTCTGTGGAGGTTTTGGCTTGCGCTTCTTACGTAGACGTACCGCGGGGTAGTCTGAGCAGTGGTCCTCTCTGATAAAGAGAACCAATGAGCTCTACCAGCCCTTTGCTGCCCTCCTCCAACAGAGTCCAAGCAATGAGAGACATCCGATGTTATCAGCGCTGCAGATTGCACAGCGCCACAGCCAAGGGCTTGTCTCATGAATTCACAGTGCGGCGCAGAGATACTGTTTTCTACAGAAAAAAATCAGTTTGATTTATTATCACAAAAATCATATGGGGATTTGCATTTTTTCATTCTGTACAGATGATTCAGTATATTTTCCTGCTCTGTTAAAATGCTTACAAAGATCCCTGTCCATACAGAGGACAAACACAAGCCTTTGTCTTCAATGAATGAATGGTTATGGTGTGTCATAACCTGCTGTGAGATTCCAGCACTGTCGGAAGCTGCTCGCAGCTGTCTCTGACCTATTTCTGAGGCTGATGGATATAAGGTGAAAAGAGTCCATTGTGTTGCTGCCTTTTGTGTTTCTCTGGAAGGTGTTGCTGAGTTTCTGCTGCCAGTTCAGCACTGATATAATCCAAATCATTTGCTGTGCTTCAGACACAATAAAACTGGTCTCAGGAAAAGACAAATAAAGCTGAGTAGAATGTGAGCAGGTGAATATTTTTAGTTTCGTGCATTGCAAAGTGTTTTCATCTGTTGCAGCGGCTGTGCTCCCATCCTGGTTGAAAGAGCATAAGAAAGCTGCAGTTGAAATGCAAGGCTGCATAAAAAAATCCCCTCCCCACAGTTAGCCCCATTTACCATTACAGCAGTTGAATGCAGATGAGAGAACATCTAACATCTATTTTCTTCTGGCTTGATTGCGTGCTGGCAATTAATTTTTTTGTTGCTCAATGCCTAAAGCCAGGGGAAATGATTTAGTTGTGTATATAGATTGCTTTGAGGTCGGTAAAGACTTGATGAAGTATTTAACAGCTCCAAGTGCTGCAGGGCTTTCTTGTTTTTCATTATGGGCAAAGGGTTGATGGTTTTGGCCAAATGTGTTGATACCGGCCTGGTTGCGTTCAATATGCAATAAAGATAGCAAGCATGGAAATAGCATATTACAGTTTAATGCCTACATTAATTAGCCTGCTGGGTTTTTTCCCCTCACGGCTCTATGAAGATGTTCACGGAGTGGAGAGAGGGGAAAAGTATAATGTCTAGAAATGTGATATTTGTAGAATAAGCATTTCACGTTTATCTGAAATTTGTTTGAAAACCATGTGGAAATTGTTGTGGCAATTCTGCAATCCCACTCTGACAACGAGGAACGAGACAAAAATGTCTTACAGTATTGTCACACTTTAATGCTCAGAGCACGGTACACAAGACAAAGGTTAGTTTATAATATTCACACCGATGGGAAGCTGTTCTTGCTCTTTATACATTTGGCTTGTTCCTCCCCTTCTGGTTGAGATTGTTTCTGAGAAAAAGGTCAGGATCTTCTGATGACATCAGGTCAACAATGCCTTAGTTGAGGCAATCAGGTGAAGATTCAATCAGTTGCACAGGATTCAGCATGATCAGTCATAGAGGAAATGAACATGAGTACATTCTGCATGATCAACATGTAACATTTCCCTTACAAAATATTTCGCCTTCAGGCATTTACATAGGCAGGTTAAGTTGTACTAACAACACAACAAAATGTTTGAGGTTAAATTAGTATTCTTTACTTCAAATTATCCCCTGAAGCAACAGCTCAAAACACCAAGTTAGAGGTTATATTATGAAGGGTGTAAAAAATGTTTGATCATGAAACTGCGGACATAGGTCAGTTATAGACACATGACTATGTTATTCATTGCTACAAGTGTGCATCTACAAACAACACGTTGTTAAAGCAGCTTTAATGAATGTGTTGAGACAATGGAAAATTCAAACATGGAGGTGCAACAGCAGAACAAAGTGTAAGTAACAGGATGTGAATAAGAGGTTGTGGCTTCCACACCAAGGGGCCAAAGAGTTGCTGTCAAACCACTTCATGAATGAAGCCACTGTCAGTAGGTTTTCTTTTCTTATAATCTATAGCTCCAGAACCGAAATGTCTCATTTCTCAGTTTAAAAGAGAATATGTAGTAGGATGTGACACTGTGTAATAGCCTCCCAACCTCTCCCATCTCGTCAACCGGTGTGGCGCCGTTCTGCCTTCATACTGTAAAATCTCTCACGCACAAAGACCTCCAGTAGGGTTACAGTGTGCGTCTGTGCTGTGTGGTCCGCTGCAGTAATAAACTGTCTGCTCTGCTCAAAGTAACAGGCGTGAGGTATGCTCTGTCTTTCACCTCCCGTTTGTCAACAAATTCAAATGAACTTTGGCTGTGAAGTAAAATCTCACGCTCTAAAGTCGATGAATCATTCTTTTATAAGTGGACCTACAGATAATGAATTTTTCACAAATTTTCTATCTCAGGAATCACTGTCACTGGTTAAAGATGTCAAAAAAGGTGAAAGATTAATAGTCTGGTCATAGAGGCCATGTTGTACTCTTTGTTTTTAATGCGATAAAATCAAAATAATTCATAAACACCAAAAATCGCTCAGATTTGATGCTCTTTTGTTTTAATATCACTGAAAACATTTTGCTCTCAGAACTTGTGATGGACATTTTTCACTTTTTCTCAATACTGGCCTGAATTGCAGCTGGCACTGCTGACTCTGACTGTCAATGTTTTATTTGTACTCATGTGCATGTGGGACTGGGTTGTGAGAAGGCACTCCCACTTTATCTTTGTTCAGCAGACAAACCAACCTAACCACTCATCTCGTTTTCCTTTCTCTTTCTTCTCTCTCTCTCTGCAGGATGCGACAGGTTGGATTCAGTCCCCCGTGTTTCTCCTGAACGATGACGATGGGTCAGAGAAAGAAATCATGCTGGTGAGGCAAACGAGCAGCAGTCCACCCCTGAAAATCTACCGCGGATACACCAACTGACACGACCATGCCCCGTTTGCCCCCGTGATTCTCCTCCCCTGACCTGCGCACCTTCCCTCTGCCCAATCGACCCCAACCACAACTCCCTCTTGAAGTCAGCATGGCGACACCCTTTTTGTGGAAGCTCTCGTCCCAGAAGCTGGGCTTCTTCCTGGTCAGCTTCGGCTTCATCTGGGGCATGATGCTGCTGCATTTCACCATCCAGCAGCGAGCCAGCCATGAGAACAGCGCTGTGCTGCGGCAACAGATCCTGGACCTCAGCAAGCGCTATATCAAAGCACTGGCCGAGGAGAACCAAAGTGTCATGGACGGGCCTTATGTCGGAACCATGACCGCTTATGGTGAGTAACCGGCTCATGTAACCTAACTCACTCATGTTTTCAGAATTTAGAGTTCATTGCTCAATGACTCTGCATCATCATACAGGTTTTTCCAGGTTTTTCCAGATCAGTCATTAAGATTCCTACGCCTTCAGCTTTTGTTTTGTTATTTAAAGTAACAGTTTTCCTTTTCCTGATTCCTCCAGTAGTACCTCTTAAAGGTACAGTGTGTAGAATTTTGTGATATCTAGTGTTGAAGTTGCATGTTGCAGCTGAACACCCCTCACCCCACCCTCTCCTTCCAAACATGAAAAAGAACCCGTGGTAGACTTTAATTGTCATAAAAACTCAAAAGGTGTTTAGTTTGTCCAGTCTGGACTAATGTTAAAAACATGGCGGCCTCCGTAGAGAGGGTCCCCTCGATGTAAATATAAAGTATTTAAATATAAAGGGTCTTTTCTGGGGTAAAGAAAACTACAATTCATACAATTTAGATGAAATTAACTCGTGAAAACATCATGAGAATTATTCTAGATTCAAATTCTGCCAATAGTTCCCTTTCACCTAAATCTTACACACTGGACCTTTAAGGTATGTGCACGCTTTTTGCCTTGATAAACCGGTCTAGAGGTTTTTCCAGTTTCCCGTAGAATGCCGTGCCTTTACCGACATTGTCTGCAATCTTCCTCCAGGAGCCATTTGATGTTTCTATGCTCCTTCACTGAGACACAGATTGTTTGTAGAGACAGACATGTTTGCAGGCTCCAGGTCAATTCACTTTGCACGAGCCCAGTGATGCAAGTCAGGTTAAAAAACACAGCTCTGTGCAAGGACGCGAACAGCAAGCATAGACCAAGCTTAAGCCTGCTGTTATCATAGTAAATGTAATGTATTAATTGATGTTACATGATCCATAGTTTCATTTATCATCATTTGACCATAAACAAAGAGCAGAGTGGTGATGTAGGGCTGTTCTTTGCCCTCCCTTTCTTTTTAAATTGAGATGGAATAGTTCTACCGCTTTCCCGAAAAAACCTGTCAGTGAGATCTAACGATGATACAGCGACACTGGACCGTAATAATGTAATAGCACAAGTCCAGAAGAGCCTTCGATAAGTTATTCATGCCATTAATAGACCTGTATGGCTCGATGGGAGGCTTCATTAGAAACCTGAGATTGGAATTGATTGTTCTCTAATACCCAGAGAAACAACAGGATACAGTAAAGCTCCTGGAGATTAAATCAACTCCCCGTGAATGTGGAAAGAAAAGAAGCTGGAGCACTTGAAGAGAGCAGTGCAGTATTTGCATAGAGTTTTGAGCTTACGTTTACAGGGCGTTCTTCTGCAGGAGCATTAAACTGCGTGTGTTTGGGTTTATGCAAGCGTGGAAAATGTCAAGCAGCTCAACAACCTGAGCTGCTTATTGAAAAGCAAACCTTAACATCTGCCATATTAAATCACGGAATTAGTCATGTGTAATTCAATATGGCCTGGTATTAATAATGAAGGATAAGCGAGGAAAGAAATACATCTGTATGGTGAGAATTATCCCACTGTAAATCATGCGATTAATTTGATTAAATATGGTCCAAACTTATGTCCATAGACTTTTGTGTAATATCAGTCCAAGTTTCCAGGGAACAGCATCCTGTCCGGTTTGTTGTGCTGCGTTTATATGATGGATTGATTTTTCACCATTCTGTCAGAGCTGCGGCACAGTCTGCTGACCGCACTCCAATATCACATCAAAATCCATTTCATGTGCTTGATTAGATAGGGAGGCAGCAAGATACTTGGCGGACCCTGTGTTCACTCATTGGCTGATGATTTGCCTTGATATGATTTGTAATGAGTTTAGGAGGAAACAGGGTTTCCGCCTTTGCTGCCTGTAAATGACCCATAAAGTGCTAATGCATGTGAATTTAATATTGTATCTGCTGAAAGCCCCTTTGAAGCCCAGTTGGAGCATTGTGTTATTGTTTGGACTGTATGTAAGCAACCTGTTGAGAAGCATGAAATGTAGTCTTGGTTATTGTCTTAAGTGGTTGAACAGGTTCATCTGAAAATGATTTATGAGGTTTACAGCACTGTTTTTTGCAAACTTTGTCCATTTATTCCTTAACTCTTCCTACTAATTGCTATTTTAAAAGCACCTGTTGGAGCGATTGAATTTGGACTTTGTTGAAAACCTTATTACTATTATTATCTTTTAGAAAATATAATTTCTTTGAAAGGTTCATCAGAGGTATAATTTATTTGAACTTCTTACAACCTTGGGAACAAGGACATTTAAAATAATAATGGTAACAATAGCTAACTCTTTTATAGAGCACTTTCCTGAAGTGATCATTTCAAACAAAACTGAACAAAACACAATGAAACACACTACATAATGACAAAAAACAGTACAGGCAACCAATGAATACAAAATGAAACAAGAACTCAGAAGTAAAGTTATTGCGTCGAGGAAAACATCCCTCCACCTTATCCCTTTTTTACGACGCTGTTATACCATCTCCCTCCTCCTCTTGTGAAGTGACATGAGGAAGAGCAAAGACATGACCTTTTCCTTTCCACCCATCCTGTAACTGATCTGCGTGGCTGGGCGTGACAAGCCACCTGACACTGTATCCTGTTACAGCACTTGTTCAGCATCTTTTGTGGCGTGGACTCGTATCGCACTTGTTCTCTCTGCTGCTCTCTGAGAACTCAGGAGAATCCGGCTCCCTGCAGCGATGACTGGGTGTTGTCTGAGATTATATTGTCGGTGCTATCCTCAGTGGAAGGTCATTGTGTGCTCTTTCTTCTTCTGTCTCCTCTTTGTCACATTACATTGATCATATTCGGAGACCGCTGCCTTACAGATGACGATAGACAATAGGTATAAATGCCAGTGTAGTCACGTCTTGGCCTTAATGAAAAATGCATTGTCATTTTGCACCCAGATTATAACCTGATACAACACTATTCTCAAAAGGGAAGTGAAGTTCAGGGTGTTTACTGCTGCTGGATTTGTTTTGCAACTGCATCACCTTGTTAAGAAATATTGAGACAGGCAGAAATGTTTCCCTAGGTGTGCTATTACTCATCTGGTCACCCAGCAGCAGCGTCAGTGTACTAGAGGACAAGTATTATTCACAGCACCATGGATGCCTTCCGAATGCGCTGGCTAATGAAGGCCTCTGACTCAAACCTTCAAATTTGATTACTGGAAAACTGAACGTTCTGTTTTCAGAGTCACAGTTGGGTAAAAAAATCAGAGAAACCTCAAATTTAAGAATGACTTTGTGGAAAAAACAAACCTTGAAATTCATCACACTCACAGTTTTGTTAAGGGTCTGTTGAAGCAAATGATCTTGTATTTTTAGCAGCCCTGGGGTTTTCAGCAGCATTTCCAAAATTCTTCAGTAACGTGGAGTCTCAAGCTTAAAGTTGTGATCGCCCTTTGGACAAAGTTTAAACTGAAACCATCGTAAAGAAGAGGCTGATACAAACGTCTTTTCACACTTGACAAAGAAGTAGAGCATTTTGCTACTTGATCAAATGTATAGACAGTTTCTTTCACTCACCTACATAACTCATGTCATATATTCAATAAGTTAAAACAATTTTATACCGCTCAGTGGACACAGGCCTATGTCTTGGAGGTGAGCATTAAATCTGGACTCAACTCTTCTTGCCCAATTAGGTTTGTTCCGATAGCTTGGCACGGCCGCTGCCCCTGAGCTTCCTGTCTGGCTTCCCCCTGGTCTCACTGTGCTGATTTCTGTATATCAGCTCCTCCCGGCGCGCATGGATCGTCCAAATCAGACAAACGCTCTGGCATTCGTCTTCACACGAATCAGGCTGGTGCGCCGTGCCAGGCCTCGTTGGTGCCCTTGCCAATCTCTCTGACGTGATGAGAACTGCCGTGTCAAATGCATCACAGTGAGGGAAAATGTGGCGTTTGTATGTGATAGACAAGATGCAATTATCATCATCTGAGGAAAGCGAGCGTGATGGTCTCGGAATCAGGCTCTGAACACATACATAGAAGCCAATGCACAAATGATAACGTGTAGGTTTGATGAGTTCTTGGCTGCAGAGAAATAGTGTGTGCAAACATAATAATAGTTTTGCTGCCTGTAGAAGGTACAGCAGCTTGAAACAACTTCACATTTCTCTAAATGTCACTGTAGTTGCTGCAGGTCACTGTATCAGACATCATCCCTCCTGCCCACTCTACCATTAGCTGTGTCCTATGCAGAAACATGCCCGTGTCCAAAAAGATGCCCACAGAAATGCAAAGACCCAAATTAAACAGCAAGGTCACTTGCAAAGACGATGCCGCTGCTGTTTTACATTTAAATAAGCCTCAAGCCTGAAGCCTGCAATCCAATGACTTTATGTAGAGGGAGATGGAGATGGAAATGTAGCCAAGCAATGTTCCCCAGACTACAGGCAGCTATGTCATTTCCATGCATGTATTCACTGCAGCGATGAGTGCCGTGATTATGAAGGAATTGGACGCTTCCTCGTTACAATAATTAATCGTGGTTGATCGGAATCAATCAAATCTGTACATCTGTAAAGTACATGCAGTATTTTATCAAGTATCCTTGGCAGCTTTGGTCTAAAGTTTCCCTTTAAATAATGGAATTCAACCACATATTTTCAGATTATTTGTAATATTTCCCTTCATTAGCACTTCAGATGCTAAAATGCTTAAATATCCTCTTGTTATTGGTGTAGAAATAACGACTGTTATTTTACTCCATGGATTTGACTCATACTCCTTCTTGCAGACTTGAAGAAGACCCTCGCAGTGTTGCTGGATAACATCATGCTGAGGCTGGGCAAGCTAGAGTCAAAGGTAGAGAACATCTACAACGGTACAGGGGGGAACCTGACCAGTGGCACCAGCACAGCCACACCCAGTGCTGCAAACTCTGAGAAGGTCAACGTGGCAGGTATGTACCCTGTTTTTTGTTTTGCTTCGCAGCGTCTGCAGTGTTTGAAGGTGTAAAGCAGTGAGGTTATAAAGGGAAGCTAGTCCTGTTACAGCTGCACCCTCTGACAATCACAGGAGGACAGACTTTGACCCACCATGTCTGTCAGAGGGGGAGTACTCCTCCCGACTCTCAACTGATATTGTTAAGGTTTGGTGCAAAATTATAGAAAACATAAGCTTTTATTCAACGCCGTCCTTTTCTCTTGTAGCTCTTGGATAAATTTGCATTTCAAAGGCAGCGGATGAATAACAATTATTATTAACAGACTTTCCAATTATCATCTGTAGAACAACAAAATAGAGAAAAAAAGAGAAGCCATTTCCTATTTCCCATAGCAAGTAACATTCCCAAGTCATTCAAACCAACTAAACTCAGCCAGTATTGCAACGTGCACACCAGGCACTTTATAGGAGTAGACCGCATCCTTGGACATAATTCAAATAAGGCCCGTGTTCACGCTGCATGACCCGTTTTATTAGTTTTTATAGATTTTCCTGCCAGCACTCCGATGATGAATTCAGCCCGGTTGAGAGAGGGAGGTGTTGGTTTTCCTGGGATCCTGGTGGGACCTGCTCTAAGTCGTTTGCGCAGCTTTTAACAGAAGGAATGTGAAGTCTGTGCTCGGAAGCAATGTATGCAGAAATGGATTAGGCCGATTGAGTCGCACAGAGTCACGTTTGAATGGATCTAATCCTAATGAAAGCTGCAGCGCTGCCATCTCTTATCAAAGGTCGACGCTGCCTTTGTCAGGTTTCCTCTTTTAAAACCTCCAGTAGGATAACAGGAAGTTATCTTAATTAATGGACATGAGCTGTGTGTGGAAGTGACTGATAATTATCCAGACAATTAACATCAGAGACTGCCCTAGACTTTCAAGATGAGGAAGTATGAGGATTACATACAGTACCTGAAGCTCTTTAACAGAATTGATGTATAACTTGTTCTTCGTTGAGCAAGTTAAGACAGTTTGCTGGTGTCTCTTCTGTCTTGTGTGTGTCTTTTCTACATCTACAGCTGTCAAAAGTCCATTCAGGTATGTGAAAGATTTGTGATAACTAAAGGTGAGGCACCATGACAATCGAACTTCAGTGTTTTCCTTTCACAAACACCCAGCACAGCATGGAGATGCTCAAACAATCAGCCTTCCACTGTACTTTTCTTTCTCAATTTGTCAATTTGAAATCATCCTCAAAGTAAAATTTTATCTGACCTCTTCAGAAACTAGATTAAAGAGGCTCGCAAACATCTTTCAAACGTGTTGCAGACAGACTGGAAATCTGGTCGAACTACTAGAAGGAGTAATATCAAGTGCTTCGGACTCTGATTGGTTTCAGACGGAAACAACGGAATGGTTTCCTCTAATACAATATTCTCAGGCAGTAAATGTCTCCATCCAGCCACTGTGGAGACTAATCTCATACACTGTTTCGAGGCAGTCAGGGTCAGCTCCTCTGTTCTGCAGCGTTTGTGCCTCAATCCGTGACACATGTCAATAAAGCTGAGGCGCCCTGTTTGCTTTAAACATCCTGCAGTACCTTGAGAGGCTCATTCTGATCCTGAATGCAGGTCAAGCTGAGAAAGTGGAGCCCACATGTCTCTTGGCAATGAACTGAAGGCCCAGAGCACTCCAGAGTCTCCACTGGAGCATGTCTCCTGTCTCGGAGTGGGTGGCACGCAGCGCCGTTGCCAGCTTCGCCAGTGCTCCTTCCTGACTGTAAGGCAATTACAGAGATAAGACTCTGGACAGTGAGGGAACATGCCTGCTTTTCAGAGAGGCTGCTATCAAGATGGAGCGGAGCAGCAGCCCTGGGACTGCGTTATTTCCACCTCAATTGTATACATTTTAGCCCAGGACTCTGGCATGTCAGAGCCCATCCCCGGGCCTTGTTAGTATTCACAGTTTGTCCCTGGATGTTATTCTGTCTGGCTTGGAGTGGAGGATGGGTTGAAGGAAAGTTTCCATACAGAATTTGCACAAATCTTTTCAGAAATTTAGCAAAATAAGATGTGATTTTTCCATTACTGTTATGCAAACAGTATGAGCTGGACACACAGAGAACAATTAATGACATGCATTCTCCTGTCATGTGCCATTAAACTGCTGCAGAAGAAGAGGGTCGTGTGGAGTTAACACCATGTTGATGAAACTGAAAACCTGTTTGTCTTGTATTTTAACTGACTGTCCTAAAGGAAAACTTAAACACCCTTTGACCCCGGACTAAAGAGACTTGAAAACCTGTTGAACTGAATGCAAAACATATTATATGATAACAACTGACACACACTGTTCGGGGATCATCAACAGTGTTCTGTGTTTGTAGCTCATCTTTTTTGAAAGAAAGCCATTAACGTACATTACAAATACTCTTTATCTAATCTATTTCCGATATTTAAAGATTAAAGACTGGCACACTATTTCATTGGAAACAAAGCCTCACACTTCACGCTGAGCCTCACGTTGACTTGCGTCAATATGACAGTAACTCCACCTAGTCTTCTGCTACTCTCTGCTGATGGTGTGAACCAACAGCTGTGCACACATTGTGGAATAGCGTTGTATTCTTTTGATTGCTCATCTCACAAAAAATGTGACCCTCTCTCATTGCTTTACTGTCATGCTCCATTGTGTGCGGTGTGAAAGCCACTACGACTGTTTGAGGAACGGTATTGACACACCACAATTTTTATGTGCTGCCTTGCACAGGAATAGCCTTGTGCGGCCTTGCATTTACCCACAGACAGCAGGCACAGAAGACCCTTGTTGGATCAAAACAAGTCGATCTGGCCTGGGTTGCTGCTTAGCAGGAGGCAAATGGGATTCTGTTCAACAGCCGTCTGTGATACTCTGGCTTGACATGTCCCCCTGATGTAGCTAATCAACCTCCACAGTGGTGTTTCATCTCTGGGCCGGACCATCGCGTGGGGATGTAATCTCCTCCTACTCACGCACACAAAAACAGCCCATTACAGAAGTAATGGATGGTCAGGTGGTAACTTGCAGCTGTGTAACTGGCTACGATATATTTCACCATCCCTTGTAAGTAATTCAACTTGTCAAAGTCCCCTCAATCTCGGCTCCACCGCCAGTGACACCTGGCTGATTTGCAGTGTTCAGTCTCTGTGACACAGCTGCCTTTTTCAGTAAGCAGGGACCTGTGCCTTCACAGCTCAGGGCGTCCTCACTGCTTTGTCTCTTTCAGCTATCGATCCGGTTGCAACTCTGTTTGCTAGTCACAGTGAAAGATGAGATCCAAGGTGTTAATGTCAACAAAGGAAAGGGACATGATAGAATTTCATACGCTCATTGCGTCATTAGTCCCTGACCTTTATTTTCATTTCTACATATTCTACATGTCCAGAGGAGGAGTTCAAGGATTCTTTTTGTAATCTGCAAACAATCACCACACATTTACCATTTTTATACTAAAAACATCACATGGGCCTCATTCTTGGATTTAGAGCAGAGTCTGTGGTCTCCATTATGTTATGGAGGGCCTGCTTACTTCCTCAGCGTGCAGATCAATACTAATATAGTACACACATACACATGAACCCACTGAGGGCTAATAAGTCACTGAGATATGCTGTCAGCTCCTGCATGCTGTCAAACACCAGCGTGAATGGTGACACTCATCACCGTGCAGGCTAATGTAAATTACACAGCAGAATTATTATAATAATTATTTAAAGTGGAAATACTTGGGTTCAAGCCCTGCAGATGTTTTGTGTCTGTTTACTGTTATTATAGTTAGTATCATTATTAATAGTTTTCCCTCTACAACAGTTTTAAGCTGGAATGAACTACAGAGACATTATTACTTGGCCTATTAACTGAAAATGGTTTCAATTGGCGACATGGCTCTGCAATTCATGTCCAAAAAGACATGCTCTGTCTGGACCGTAAAAGTCCACCATGATTGAAATTTCGTAATTTTTGTCACTATTTCTGACTGTGACAAAAATGTCCGTCATAGAGCTTTTTGATTTCTTGTTTTTGTTTTCAAGATATTGACTATTTAATACTGGACGATTCTAGTAAATCTTTGTAGATATTTTCTGTCTGTGTCGGAACAAAGCTTCCTAAAGCTAGAGTCCGCCAGTATAATTTCCAGCAGCAGGAGTTTACAAGCAATGTAATTATATACATAGTAAAGAGAGTTTACACAGAGGCTGTTATTAATGAAGTAATATCATGGTGGGTTACACACACATTGTTTCTTGTGAATCCCTCGTAAATGTGAAGGTATTTTGAATCCAGCAAAGGGATGACCGACTCCTCTGCCAACAATAAAAACGTACAACTGCCTGTCTTACCTCGTTTTAGATATTTTAACATTATTACATCATAACTTTAATGTTCAGGCCTAAGTTGCTATAGTAATCATTGTTATGCCTCTGTGCCCGGAACAGCTCTTGGCCGGAGGCATTATGTTGCCCAGTACTTTTGTCCGCTCATCCTTCCCTTTTTAACAAGATAAGTCAAAAATGGCTGCAGGGAACTTATTCCATGTTACAAAAATGTTCACTTGGACACAAAGATCCCTTTTTAAGCTTCAACAGCGATACAGGAACATGATGAGTCTGTTTTTAGGCCGACCAGACACAACCTTTCATATACGTGATGTTGCGATTGTGGAGAGGAAGTTTTTCTCACAAACACATCCTGAGCTGACCTGCCTATGCGGTGGTCTGACGTTGACTGAGCCTCCTCAGGACTTTCCCCTCAATGCAAACCGGCACACAACCAGCATGCACAGACATGCCTTTCCACTGTGTGTGTGTCTTTGTACATACTTTCATTTGTGTGAGGAATCCGTCACAGCAAACCCACATTATGTATAAGTGTGAGTTCTGTAGCTCATGTTCTGTTATTGCACATTTGTTTGTCTGCTTTGTTGCTGCAGTGTTGTACACTGACACGAAGAGTGAGAGCAAACTGCAGCATAACAGGAATGAAA